TCCCTAGTGAGCATCTGCTAAACCTGGATTACCCTTAGCCCTCACCCTCAATAAGGATGACAGAAGCCACAGCCCAGAAAGATGGCTGCCTTTTCCGGGGTCTCAGGTCGGGTTGGGATACAGCCAGATGAGGGCTTCCCTCCTCCTCCTCGAAACCTGGGCGGCACACACCATGGGTGAGCTTATGGGTCTTCTGGAGAAAGAGGGGACCTACCATCTCCTGCAGCCCTAATCGCCCCTCCACTGGGACAGCTCAGGGCCTGGGAAGGTAGAATCAAAAGTAGAGCAGATAAAGGATAAGGGCAGTTGGAGATGAGCTCTGGGCCTCCCTCACCATCGGAGTTGTGGCAAGCCCTGTGCTGGAAGCAAGCAGTGACCGTGGGCCAAGGAAGGAAACTGGGTTTCTTGTAAATAAGCAAAGAGAAACCCCAACCAACAGAGCTTGCAAAACCTTTATGTTTTTCCTCCTCTTCCTGATTTCATCTCATAAGGGGTGGTGAAAAGAAAGGAATAGAGGAGAAGGAGCTGACAAAATAGTTGTGGCTGGGGCCCCTTCACTGTGCATTTGCTCAAGGAGGAGGGTTTGGCTTGAAGATCAGGGTCAAGGTTGTAGGGGGTATCCCACAGACCGGTTACTTCGGCTCTGTCCAAGGCTACAGACTGGACCCCTGGCTCTGGCCCTCTGTCTCTTAAGTACACACCATTGGTCACATGGTGCAGCATGCAAATTTGCTTCTGGATGACTATTAGCCAGAGGAGGGGCTGTTTTTAAGTAGAGGGTACAGCTGTTCCTGGGTAGTTTCCATTTTGTTTGTGGTTGTGGGGGAGGGGCGCTGAGGGAGTGGGAAATGGCATGAAGGAAATTGTCACTTCCTTTCCAGAGAATTCCAGAAAGGTTTCATGGAGGGCTGGGTATTTCAGGAGTGAGGGCTGGCTCCGAGAGGATGAGGAACTGGAGAAGGAGAACTCTGCTTTGTGGCCTGGCTGACCATCTGGCCCCCATGTTTCCTGGCCTGCGTGAAAATGCCACGGGTGTTACTAGCGATTTTGTGAGAGCCAGTGGCTGAACCGGTGTAGATTTAAACTCACTCCACAGAGACTGTGGATGTGGCTTTTACATAGGGGCTGCTTCCTGTATGCAGAGGAGGCCCAGATGGGTGGGTGCTGGACACTGCTTGACTGCGCTCCAGTGACAGCCCCAGAAAGGGTCTGTACTTCTGAAGGGGGCCCAGCTGTGATGACGCAGGAGCAGCCCAAACCACTTCTATTTTGCTATTTTGGTTTTGAAATGCAGTCAGAACCACAGTGAGCCAGAGGTGTGCATTTGCAGGCTGGGGATGTAGGCGCCCTCGCTTGCTTGCTCCCTCCTGTGGCACAGGCTCACTCGCTTCCTCACACACGGTGTCCGGAGCCATATGCTCTCCAGACGCTTTGCTTTCAGTGCAAGTAGGACAAGGTCCTGGGAGCCAGGGATCCTGCAGTGGCCTCCAGGGGAGTGAAGGGAGTGGAGCTCTTGCCACCCTGGGAGCAGACTCTGACTGGAGCCAGCTGTGATCTGTATGATGACAGGGCGGGTGGAAAACTTCCCAGGCCCATCTCTTACTCAAGCCGGGTGTCTGTGCTGCATACCCACCTAGCGCCCCACTCACCGTAAAGGCAGCGTCCAGGGCTCTAGGCCCTGGAAGAGCTGAAAGGACACCAGGGAGGAGAGCCCCCTGGTGTGGGCCTCTCAGGCCTCCCTGGCCTCCAGCTGGGCGGGCCTTCTGTGGTGGTGTTTTTTTTTTTTTTTTTTTTGGGTTTCAGGTTCCGGGGGGGGGGGGGTTTTTTTGGGGGGACGGGGGGGGGGGGTCACTCCTCTGCTGGGGAGAGTGAGTGAGCATGCAAATGAGCTTATCCCCACCTCTCACTTTCAAATCCTCAAACATCTGACGGGGGAGGGGCAAAGGGCAAAACTTTATGGTGGAGAAGGTTCCATGGTGGGGCTGGGAAGGGAGTTTTCTTAGCCTTGACCAAAAAAGTAGGACAGCTACTTCCTCCCTCCACCCCGCCCACACTCCTTCACCTTACTAGCTTTAGGCTGGAGCTTGGGCAGAACAAGACACCAGGATCAGCCTTGGGTGCTGGGTCCTGCAGCCTTGAAATTCTCACAGTCCTGGGTCAGCAGAACCTGCACCAACCCAGTCCTGAATTTAGATCTTTAGACGTGTGGACACTTAAAGAGTGCACTTACATTAGCCTCTTCTTTCAAACCTCTCTTTGCACAGATGGCTAAGGATCCCATCCAGTACAGTGCGGTGCTGTCTTCCCTCTCCCGCCACCTCCTTAGCACAGTGGACCTTGGTGGACTCACCCCAAGAACCCATGAGCCACATACATATTCTGCTGCTAGCTCTCTTCCTGGGAAGCGGCAGGAGGGAGCAGCGGCGGTGGCCATAGCTCGGTCTGTCATTGTCATTCTGCGAAGGCGGGACTGGAGGAGGAGGGACCCACCACTGAGTTTGTGGCTCTGCCGGTCCACAGAGCGTCTCATGCACACATCCCCATACTTGGGACATGTGCGCACACCCTGCACACAAGTAAGTCCATGGTGTGCGTGCACACCCACAGTGAGAACTCCCATTGTAAATTACAGTGCACAAACACCCAGATGTAACACAGACCAGAGCACACATCTCTCTTACCCCAAAAACAATGGACACACGGATATACTTCTTGCCCAGAAAACACACCTCACTGGTACTGACTGACCAGTATCATTCATTCGTTCGTTGATTCGTTAATTCATTCATGTGTTTGTTCTGCAAACATAAATTGAGTGTCTGCCACATGCCAAGCACAGTGCAGCTTGGTAACGTTTCACTGATGACCAACACAGTTGCCCCTGCCCTCAAGGAAGCCACTGCCTAATGGGGCAGGTGAGAAAGGTACAGGGAAGGTCTGCAGGCAGCGAGCAGCAGTGAACTCGCAAACAAGAAGTGCTGATCTGTCAAGAGAGGCCAAAGCAATGAGCAAACCTGAAGGGAAGGGCTGCCGCGGAATGACCTTGTTGCGGGGAGAGGGAGCAGACACCAGAGTTTCGTGTTTAGACAAAGTGGGATTAGGTGAAAGTGATCCCTTTCATTTGATTAGTATGAGAATGCTTCCTGGGGGCAGACAGCCGGCCTGAGGGAGGGCGGGGAGCTGCGGAATGCGAGCCTTGGGGCGCTTTGGCTACAGGAGACAGACCTTCCAAGCATAAATGGCCCTGGGAGGCTTCTCGGGCAGGCCACTGGAGACAGGGTCACAGGCAGGGCCCTGTGGGGGTAGGGTGAGGGCGGGAGGGGTGGAACTGTGTTTTCCCCAGGGCCTCCTCTTCGTCCTCGCAGGGCTGTCTCCTTAGCCAAAGGGAAACTCAGACCTGCCAGGTTGAGTTGAGTGACTTCTCGAAGTTTTTTGTTAAGGGTGGGTGGAAAGGTGCGGGGGTGGGGGGTGGGGTGAGGGCTGGGGTGGAGAGTGGGCGGAGCCAACCCTGTGGGCTAACGGAAAGGAAGTGGGAGAGGCCTGGGTGTCTTCTGTGGGGGAGAGCGGTCATCAGAGAGGTCACCCATGGTCCTCCTCCCTTTCCTCCCCTTTGCCCCTCTCCGAAGTTCCTCATTTCTTTCTGGGCCAGGAGAAGGTTCTGCCACCCCGACACTACCAAAGGTGTGTCAAGGAGGTAGGAGTCAAATGTGTCTCTCGGACTATGGTGCATGGACCCAGTTCTTCAGGCGCTGGTGGTTGAACCGGGCTGTTTGTACACCCATCGTGCGCACGCACACGCAAGGGTACCATTAAAATCAACCCTAAGGGTCAAAGATGTGGTACCTGGAGGTGTAAAAGCCCACGTGCTCGAGAGCAGAGGAGCAGAGCAGGCTGGCAGGAGGGCCATGGCAGCAGGAGCTAGGCTTTGGGAGGTAAGCCTGGGTGCCGCCGCAGACCACACGTAGAAGAGCAGCAAGCATGGCCCTGGGTGGCGTGTGTGCGCCTGAGGTTGCATACTGTGAGCTCCAGAGGCACCGGGCACCCGGGAGAGGAGAGACATGCGGGCTGCAGCAGACAGGTTTCCTGGAAAAGGGGGGGAGGTCCTGAGCCGGCCCTGCAGGATGGGGAAGGTTCTGTGGGCCCCTCCGCAAGCTGGGGCTCTCCTCACAAGTTCCCAGGGTGAGAGTTCAGTCTTGAAACTGAAAGCAAAGCTGAAGCAAGAGTAGGGACACCCCCCACCCCTCCCCGAGGCTCAGAAGCCATCCTCTCCAGTGGGCGGCAGCGGTGTCAGGGCAGCGATAAGTGCACAGGGCATGTGCCCCGCCTGTCTCGGGCCGTCGGGGTGTGGCTGAGACCAAGACTCCCCTCCTGGAGAGCTGCTGGCTCTGACAACACAACCCCCACTGAGAGACATTTCTTCCTCTCTAGACTCTGCCCTTCAGAGCTAAGTGCCCCACTTTTGAGGTAGACCGAACCAGGCAGAGTCTGGAAGAGCACCTGGTACAGCCATGTGTCGCTTCCCACACCCCTGAACACACGATTCTTTCCAAGTCAAGGGGCTTTCAAGGATTCTTCATGCTGCTGCGCCATCTATAAGGCCAGATGGGGTGCCCTGATTTCCCTTGTGGCCACACCCTGGGGATTAATCTTTGGGGTGGAGAGAGCCCAAAGTCCCTCTATCTGTCACCTTCTCCAGAGGAGGCAGGAGAGAAGGGAGGGAGGCTGTGTGTCTTTAGGGCCAGCTCAGGTGCAGATGCTGGTGACCTAGACTGACACTGAGGCTCAGCCACTTCCCACTGGAGGTAACTCAGTTAACTTCATCTTTTTCCTTCATTTTTTACTTGCCTCTTTTCTTCTTCCCCTTTCTTCTCCCATTGTCCTCCCCTTTTGGCAAGCCTCCTTGGTCCCTCTGGTTCGACTGGCTGTCGGCTGTCCTGTCGTGGGGACAAAGCTCAAGGAAGGTGACCGATTCACTGACCCTGTGATTCCCTTCTCCACAGGTCACTCCTGCGGTTGGCCCAACCCAGCATGCAGCCTTGAACCTGGCTTAGGCCACCACCTACTCCAGCTCTCTACACCCCCTATCTCCCTGTGGTTTGGGCTGTAGGCTCTAAGCTCCAAAGTACCTGAACAGCATCTGTTCGTCAAGAAACCCCCACAGCTCCAGAGGGCCCAGTGAACCCTGCTTTCGGCTCTCTGAGAAGACAGCATGGCTATTACCCTGCAGCCCAGTGACCTGATCTTTGAGTTTGCAAGCAACGGGATGGATGATATTCACCAGGTATGGCCCCAGAGAACAGAGCCTGGTCACCCAGGCGGACGATCAGAGAGACACACACTGGCAGGCAGACGGCAAGTCAGCTAGCCATCCGGCTAGCCAGTCAGCAAATGTTGATCAAGCACCTACTAGGTCCAGGCCACTGGCCCTGCATACCAGCCAGACTGTGCACCAGCTTGTCACTCATACGGCCGTCAGTAGTCATTGGGTGGTCATTTCGTGAGCCAGGTGCCCGTGTGCAGTTCTGGGGCACGTGCAGTCACCAAGTCAGCCATGCGGTCAGCATGGTGTCAGCCAGTCAGCAATGTGGCCTGAATGCACAGGTATACCTGGGCCCTCACGTGCATTCCTGTCCCCTTCTCCCTCAGTGTCACAATGAGAAAGCTGCTGGGACAGACACATAGCGAGGGTGAGCACTGCCAGCTGGACCCATGGGCAAAGACCAGCCCCCCACCCCCTTCAGACACCTGTCTCTAGTATAGCCGATGGGCCCTTCCATAATCATCTTTTCAGCCTTAGTCTGAGGATTCAGCTCTGGAAATGGGGCTTTCTGGTGGGGGAAAGTTGAAAACTAGGACAGAATTCTGGCACTTAGGTCCCCACTGCTCCATATCTTGCTCTGTACTGGGGCCAAGGGAGCACTTTTTCCGTGCACTTAGCTGTACTCATTGGAGGGTGTCCTGGCACACCCATTGCTACCTACTCCTCTCCTTCCAGAAACTGGAGAAGAGGCAGCCAGGTACAGTAGAAGGAACAGAAGATTAAGTCAGGGGTCCTGGGTTCCAATCCCAGTTTGGCCACAGTTACACGTGGGCAAGTCCTGTCCTCTACCCTATCTGGCTGCCCTCTCCCCATCTTCACCAAGAGGAGATCCAGTTGGATTATCTCTAAAGGCACCGCAGCCTAATACTGATGCTCTACGCTAAATCCTTGTGAGGACAGAAAACTTTGTCGGACTTCTGGCGGCTTACCAAAGGCTGCCCCCTAGTGGACTTTGAGCACATTGTCCTTTCTGTCCCGCTGGGTCTTAACCTAAAGTTGCTCAGTTTTATGCAACACCTGTGGTGTGCCTAGCCTTGTGGAAGGCATCATGGGAAGAGAAGGGAAGAAAAATCTAACCAAACATGAGTTCTCAATACTACTGGTCATTTTTTTCTTGTTTCTGATCTGCTCAGCAACTGTTACTGTTCTTTTTTAGCATGTTTATTTATTTATTTTGAGAGAGAGAGAGAGAGCGCGCATGAGCTGGGGAGGGGGAGAGAGAGAGAGAGAGAGAGAGAGAGAGAGAGAGAATCCCAAGCAGGCTCCGAACTGTTAGTGCAGAACCTGATGGGGGGCTCGAACTCACGAACTATGAGATCATGACCTGAGCCGAAATGAAGAGCTGGACGCTTAACCAACTGAGTCACCCAATCCAAATCCCACACCTGCTCCTCCACCCTCAGCAGACAGCTTCTCCTCCAATCTACAGAGAAGCTCAAAACCAAGGACACCCTCAGTTTCCCTCCTTTCCCCCTTTTATTAATAACATCACCATTCTTGTTTCCTTCCTGCTGGCCCAGGAGAAAGAAGTGTCCCTCTTCTTTCCAGGGCTATCTCGTACCCATCCTTCATCTCTTCTCTCCTGCCTCCAAGACCTCAAACCATTGGCCACCCTTCTTAGCTCCTTTCTGCTCATTAGTATAGTCTCCACCCTCTGTGGAGGTTCTCACCTCCTTTCTTTCCCTCTTGTTAGGAAACAATTTTTATTAAAAATGTATCATTAATACAAAAGAGTACATAAATCATATATATATATATATACACACATATATATATGGAATAACTATAAAAAGAACACTCATGAACTCACCACCCATGTGAAGAAATAAAGCATTACTAGTCTCCTAGAAGTCCCTGATACCTAAAACATTTAATGAGAGCCTACTCTACACCAGGCCCTGATGTACATGCTTTATGCACATTGATCTGCTTAAACCACCCAGTGGGGTTGTTTAATATGACCACCCCAATTTTATAAAGTAAGGAAGCCGATGTACAGCAAGATTAGGTACCTTGCCCAAGGTCCCACTGTTACTAAGTAGCTGAGCTTGGTTTCAAACCCAGGAAGTCTGGCTCTAGATCAGGACAATCCAATGGAATTTTTTAAATTTATTTATTTTTGAGAGAGAGACAGAGAGAGCGAGTCAGGGAGGGGCAGAGAGAGAGGGAGAGAGAGAATCCCAAGCAGGCTCCGCACTGTCAGCACAGAGCCTGATGTGGGGCTCGAACTCACAAACCGTGAGATCGTGACCTGAGCCAAAACCAAGAGTCAGACGCTTAAACCACTGAGCCACCCAGGTGCCCCTCCAATGGAATTTTTTGAGGTACTAGAAGTGTTCTGTATTTGCCCTGTCCAGTATGGGGCCACTAATCACATATGGTTATGGAGCACTTGAGCTATGACTAATGCAACTAAAGGACTGAACTTTTTTTCAAGGTGATATTCTTTTTTTTTAATGTTTATTTCTTTTTTGAGAGAGAGACAGAGACAGAGATAGAGACAGAGTGCACACAGGAGAGGAGCAGAGGAAGACAGAGGATTCGAACCGAAGTAGGCTCAGTGCTGACAGCAGAGGGTCCAATGCAGGGCTCAAACTCACGAACCCTGTGAGAGCATGACCTGAGCCAAAGTTGAAGTCGGACACTTAACCAACTGAGCCACCCAGGGGCCCCTGAACTTTTACTTTTGAACACATCTTACATTTACATTTAAATAGTCACCCCTGGCTAGTGAGTACCATTATTGGACAGACGGCTCTCAACTCATGGCCTTCATCCTGACACCCAACTGCCTGCCTCAGTCCGTCTTCTCTGAGATCTGTTGTAATGTGCCTTGGGGCCCCAGCACCCCCCTGAGAGTGCTCTAGCCACGATGACTGCCCAGTGGCGAAACCCAAAGTCGTTTTATCAATTTTTATTTTTCTGGATCCTTCAGGAACATTAGGCATAACTGAGCATTCTCATTCTCTTTTCATGAAGAAAGAATTAAGTCCCATGAAAATTTGGAAAATACAGAAAATTTGAAAGAAAAGGAAAAGAGTCACCCAAAGTCCTACAATAAAAACATAATTATTATAATTATTCTGGTATAATTCCTTCTATACATAAGTTTTAATGTTTATTTATTTTTGAGACAGAGACAGAGTGTGAGCAGGAAAGGGGCAGAGAGAGAGGGAGACACAGAATCTGAAGCAGGCTCCAGGTTCTGAGCTATCAGCAAAGAGCCTGACATGGGGCTCGAACTCACAAACTATGAGATCATGACCTAAGCTGAAGTTGGACACTTAATGACTGAGCCACCCAGGCGCCCCTATACATAAATTTTAAAAAGACAGTTGCAATCACACTCCTTTTTCATTTAGCTTTGTTTGATTTTAGAACAACTATGTCCTCCAGTGGTCAAATTCTCATCCTGATGATTATAGCCACTCTAAGGGATTTAGCGACCACTCTTTTGAACCCTTGGTCACATATTTTTCACTCCCTGATAAGTATCTCCATGTTAAATATTTCAAAGTACCATATCCAGACACTATTCCCCTTATCTTTCTCCAAAAAACTGTTTCTCCTCCTTCTGGGTCCCCCTTTCAATGAACAGTGTCCTCATGCACCCAACAAATCAAGCTGGAAATTGGAACCTTCTCTCCCACCCTAACAGGGACTGGGCCCTAACCTCCTACCTATATAATGCCTCTGTTCTTCTGTCTTCATTGCCAGAGACTGAGCCCTAAGATGTCCACAGTCTGAGCCACTAATCCTGGATACCCAACCCTATGGGCTGAGTCCCTCACCCTTGCCATTGACTAATGCTTTCCCACTGGCCTGAGAATGAACCTAACCCTTCTCACAGACCAAGCATAACCCTGGCCAAGGATTAACCCAGAACTACAACCAATTAAAATTGCGTGATCTTGGGGGCTCCTGGGTGGCTCAGTCGGTTGAGTGTCCAACTCTTGATTTCAGCTTAAGTCATGATCTCACAGTTCATGGGATTGAGCCCCGTGTTGGGCTCTGCACTGGAAGTGCAGAGCCTGCTTGAGATTCTCTCTCTCTGCTCCTCCCAGCTCTGTCTCTCTCAAAATAAACATTTAAAAATTAAAAAAAAAAACAAAACTGTTTGCCCTTGATTGAGTGCAGGTGGTACAGAGCTAACCCATCTCTGTTAATCAAGAATCCACTCAAAGCATCACCTAGTGAGGTTGGACCCAGAACAATGTCATCCTACAAAGGACAGCCCTGAGGGGTCCAAGAATTAGGAATTGCAAGACGGGCCAGATTCTGTTGGCAGGGCTTCCTGGTAGAGGCAGGTGAGCCTTAAACCAGATTCCTATCTTGTCCATAGCTGGAAGACCCCTCGGTGTTCCCAGCTGTGATCGTGGAACAGGTACCCTACCCTGAATTACTGCATCTGTACTCAGGACTGGAACTGGACGACGTTCACAATGGTATCATAACAGACGGGACGTTGTGCATGGCACAGGATCAGATCCTGGAGGGCAGTATTTTGCTGGCAGGTTTGTTTCCTTCCTGGGCAGGGAAGATGTGGAAGAGAAAGTGGTTCTGTCTTCAGGGAATCGTAGCCTACAATGGCTCCTAGTGACCTTACGCAGCAAGGGCAAGGCCCGCAAGAGTTGGAAATTAGATGGGGCGGTTAGGACAAGCAAAAGGTAGTACCACTTCATAGAGGAGGAAACCACCTAAATGGATCCGTGATCTCTCAAGATGGAATGGGACGAGGAAGAGTGGAGACCAGCTGAGGTGAGTGTAGAGAAAAGGTGGAGAGTTACAGTAGGTGGCACACCATCCCCTTCCCGCTATCCCTTGGCCTCTTAGCACCATTCTCTGGGCTGGCCCTGATGACTGCTCTATCCCTGCCCTGTGCCCTGAGGGAACTTTTTTTCTGCCCCATGCCCTCTGTCAACCCCACACCATGGAACCTGGAACCAGATGACAATGAAGCAACCTCACAAACCATGTCAACCACTGAAGTCTTACTCAACGTCGAGTCTCCCAATGACATCCTGGATGAGAAGCAGATCTGTAAGTTTGAACCCTGGTGCCTTAACCCAAGGCGACGAAAAATGCCATCGAAAACTACCACATCCACATACTGGATTGCCAGGCACATGTGCATGCCAGCACACATACCCACAGCCACTGCCACACGTGTAAATGTGCTCTTGAATTGTGGCTGGAACAGAGGGTGCCAGAGGGCACCGTAGGCAAGGAAAAGTTGGCCAAGGTGACTTCCTTTCTCCAATGTTTAAATCATGCTAAAATACTCATAACGTAAAATTGACCACCTTAACCATTTCTCAGCATACAGGTCAGTGGTATGAAGTACATTTGTATTTTGCATTCTCACCACCATCATCTCCAGAACCTCCATCCTGCAAACCTGAAACTCTGTGCCCATTAAACAGTAACTCCTCATTGCCCCTCTCCCCTCAGCCCCTGGCAGCCAGCGCTCTACTTTCTGTCACTATGAATTGCATGACTCTAGGGACCTCACATGAGTGTAGTCACACAGTCGTGGTCTTTGAGGACTGGCTTATTTCACTTAACATAATGACCTCAAGGTCTGTCCATGTTATGGCGTATGTCAGAATTTCCTTCCTTTTTAAGGGTGACTCTTCGGTCCCCTCTGCTCTCTTGCCCGGCTCCCAGGAAGACTGTGCAGGGTGTGGCTTATTTAGAAATGCGCCAGGCTTGAAATCCCCTCCTCTCTTCCCTGTTCTTGGAGGCTGGCCCCTACCTCCCCAGAAGGCCCCCAAGGTAGGCTCCTCCCCCAGCTCCCCCTCAGACCTTTGCCTGACTCCTGGACAGGAGGACTCCCAGCCCTAACTGCCCCTTCCCAAGGGGATGCTGAGATCCAGTGGGGGAAAGAAAGCCTGAAGGTGTAAGTTAAGAGTACTAGTATTTCTGTTGACCACCCTGTCACTAATATACACTCAGGCTTCAGCAGATAATTACCGAATGCCCACATGTACCAGGCACCAGCTTGCTGTGTGACCTTGGACACATGCCCTGCCATCTCTAGATCTCAGTTTCCTTACCAGGAAAGCAGAGGAGTTGGGCTAATTGATACTTTCCAGTTGTAAAACAAGTGAATGACTAAATCAAGGTGGCCCTTTACCCTGGGTGTTGCCTGGAACTTCCCCACCACCAGCAGTGGCTGCAAATGTGGCAGCCGTGATTGGGACCGGCTCATGCCCACAGCCCTGCAGGTGTTTCCTCTCCTCATGGTGCAAGACACATGAGGCATTTTCAGGTGTATCCTGAATCTGGGGCTGTGGGGAACGGCTCCCACCGCCCTCCCCGGGAGCCCACCATTCTTTTCAGTGCCCTCCCTGCCCCAGGCCACTGGAACTTCAGGCCTCTCTCCTTGCAGTCAGCACCTCCGAAATGCTTCCCGACTCAGACCCTGCTCCAGCTGCCACTCTGCCCAACTACCTGTTTCCTGTCTCTGAGCCTGATGCCCTGAATGGGGCAGGTGACACTGATGACCAGGAGGGACACTGTCTGGAGGAGAAGGTCCCCAGAGAGGAAAGTGCCAAGAAGACTGGAAAATCAAAGAAGAGAAGTAAGAGAGACGGAGGTGGGGGATGGGGAGAAGAAGTGTGTGTGTGTGTTCAAGGGGGCGCAGTAGGCAGGGGGCAGGTCAGGGACACCATAAGGGGTGAGTGGGTCGAGGCTCTTAGACACATTAAGAGGACAGCTCTCATGACAGGGGTGGATGAAACGTCCTCCCTTCTGTAAAACCTGGCCTCATCAGTTGGCCTGACATCTCCCATGCCATTGCTGTCGGCCCAGCATATATGTAAACTCTTCCAGAAATGCCAATGATCCCAGATGGGTTGAACCCTCGTCTTGGTGTTTGGACACCATCCTCCTTGGCCTCCTGGCAAGTCCCTGGCCCTCTGGGGGCCTCTGCCTATAAAAGAGGCCTCATCCAGGGGTGCCTGGGTAGCTCCGTCGGTGGGCGTCCGACTTCGGCCCAGGTCATGATTTCACAGTTTGTGAGTTCGAGCCCCCGCGTCAGGCTCTGTGCTGACAGCTTGGAGCCTGTAGCCTGGTTTGGATTCTGTGTCTCCCTCTCTCTCTCTGCACCTCCCCAGCTCATGCTTGCACTCTGTCTCTGTCAAAAATAAATAAACTTAAAAAAATTTTTTTTAAATAAATTAAAAAAAAAAAAGAGGCCTCATCCTGTGTGCTTATCTTCCTTCTCCAAGCTTGTGGTGCTTGGGCCATATGTGGGAGAGGACTTTGGGCTTTCCCAAGCCCTGGTGTTATTGATTTCCTTAGGTAATGACTGGTTGCCACTGCCTTGTCAGCGAGGGAACCAAAGCCTCAGTGTCACACTTACCTGCACAACAGCTGCCCCATTAGGCTGCCTTCTCTCTCTCTCTCTCACTCTTTTAATGTTTATTTATTTTCAGAGAGAGAGAGAGAGAGAGAGAGAGAGCATGAGCAGGGGAGGGGCAGAGAGAGAGAGAATTACAAGTGCAGATGAGATCATGACCTGATCCAAAATCAAGAGTCTGACGCTGAACCAACTGAGCCACCCAGATGCCCCGAGGCTACCTTTCCATTTCAAACATTAGGCTAGGTGGATTGTGTTCTTCTAAAGGGGACTCATTTGTAACCACTACCGCATTGCAGTCGTGTTCTGGTGTACCTTTGGGGCCTGAAAATGAGGGTGGGCCATTGGGCAAGTGCAGGAACCTGAGGGCTGTGGTTGTGGAGGGTGATCGTGGGCCTCTGGTCTTGTTGACCCGGCTCTTCCTTGTCTGCCTTGGCACCCTACTCGAGGAGCTCCGGGGTCCTCCCTCGGACTCAGGGAGTCCACCCTGGAGCACTCACTGCCATCTCGTCTCTGCCTCATCCTCCTCCCTGCTTCCCCTCACAGTCCGGAAGACCAAGGGCAACCGCAGTACCTCACCAGTCACTGACCCCAGCATCCCCATTCGGAAGAAATCTAAGGATGGCAAAGGTGCGGCTGGGAGTCAGGTGAGGTGGGAGGGGGACTGGAGGGCCTAGGCAGCCCCTCATCACGTGCCCTTCTGCAGGCAGCACCATCTATCTGTGGGAGTTCCTCCTCGCACTGCTGCAAGACAGGAACACCTGCCCCAAGTACATCAAGTGGACCCAGCGAGAGAAAGGCATCTTCAAGCTGGTGGACTCCAAAGCCGTGTCCAAGCTGTGGGGGAAGCAGAAAAATAAGCCCGACATGAACTATGAGACAATGGGGCGGGCGCTAAGGTAGGAGCTGCTGGGGCACCGAGTCCCTGCCCGGGGGTGGGGGTGGGGGGTTACCGAACTCTTCTCCTTGTCCAAGACGTCCCTCCTGCCTTAGGATCTCCCAGCTCTCCCACATGCTTGCCCTAAGCCTGTTCCCGGACCCCTGGGAGGAACAGCCCCCTCCCTCGTGTATCTCTGTCCTGGCTTTTTCTCTTTTTATAACACAAGAGCCCTTAAGGACCCCGCATCCCCAGGAAGGGCCTTCTGCCAGCCAGAGACCCAGGGAGACAGGCCCAAGTTACCCACCATTGACCTTTCAGGCCGGGGGCCAGCTGAGCTTCCCAACGTCCATCCCCTCCCATCCTTTACTCACCCTTGTCCTTAGCCCCAAAGCAGGGCAGGGCTAACATTTAGAACCCCTTTTCGTGGCCCTTTGGGTCCTCAGGGGGAGATCTCAGGAATTTCATAAAAGCCTTCCAAGTCCAAGAGTTGGCCTTGGCTGGGCTCCCTTGCCCTGGGCTCCCATCTGGCTGCCTGGCTGCCACCCTCCTCCTGCCGGACCTGCCCTGGAGGGTGGCGTGTCCCGGCCTAACTCCCCACATCCCCGGCCCTCGTCCCCCAGATACTACTATCAAAGAGGCATCCTTGCCAAAGTGGAAGGGCAGAGGCTGGTGTACCAGTTTAAGGAGATGCCCAAGGACCTGGTGGTGATCGAAGACGAGGATGAGAGAAGTGAAGTCACGGCAGCCTCCCCTCGGGCCTCCACTCCCTGCACCTCCTCCGCCAGCACCACCAGGCGAGCCAGCTCCAGGGTCTCGGCCAGAGCTGCTCCCCAGGGCAAGGCAGGCCCTTCCTGGGAAAAGCCAAAGGTTCAGAGCGTTGGCTTACAGCCGTCTGCAAATCTGGAAGTGGGACTGTGTGCAGATGAGGAGATCCCCACTACCTCCGCCGTGCTCATCCCTCCCCCGGAGAGCCAGGCCAAATTCCCCAAAGCCATGAGGTAAGGGCCCCGGAGTCATTACAGGTCTTCTACTAGGACCGTGTTTGGGGAGAGTGTTCAACTTCTTGTGGCGTTCTGCTGTGTCTCTAGTCTCACGGGACACTCCCAGAATCCCTGGGAAGCCAGTAGGGCACCTGTTGGTCAAGAGGGGAAAAGTGACTTGCCCAAGGTCGCACGCTAAAATAATGGCAATGCCAGCACTTGACCTGGGCAGCTTCTGTCACCAGCTGGGGCTGTTCTGGTTATTTCAGAGTGCTCCCCAAGTAGCCACCAGGTACCTCCACATCTGGGCCCATCTCCCCAAGCCTCCTCCATTCCAGAAAAGAGACAATGGAGGATGGTACAGAGACACCCATTCTGCTTCCCTCAGGCCCTCCAGGGCCACCTGGAAAGCTCTCGCTACTTCTTGTCCATGCTCAGTGCCTCCAAATTTTCCCTGAGAAGGTTGGGCTTTGAGTTATGTGTATGTTACTCTCACTACACTGGCGTGGATAAGGTACTCTCCTGAGGAGGGAAGGCAATAGAGCGGAGTGGTGAGCAACATGAGCTTGGGGGTCAGAAAGCCTAGATGTGGGTCCCTGTGACTCGCTGTGTGGTCTAAGGCAAGTTACATAACCTCTCCGTGCTTCCGTTTCCTCAAGCTGTAAAATCACATTATTAATCTTATTCAATTTGTGGGTTGTTTGGGAGATTGAGTGAAATACCACACGCCAGGCATGTAGAACGGTTCCTGACCTATACTAAGTACTCAGTAGGTGTTGGCTGGTACAACAGCAAAGAAACCACACCTTCAGCTCTGTTCCTCCTGTGCCCTGCTCCCTAGCCAGTTGGGAGATGCCTTCTGCCTTAACCAAATCTGTTTTCTGTTTCTTCTCAGTACTTCTTCAGTGCCCAGCAACATCCACCTAGGAGTGGCCCCTGTGGGGTCAGGCTCGGCCCTGACCCTGCAGACAATCCCACTGACCACAGTGCTGACCAACGGGCCTCCTGCCAGTACTACTGCTTCAACCCAGCTTGTTCTCCAGAGTGTTCCGCCTGCTTCGACCTTCAAGGACACCTTCACTTTGCAGGCCTCCTTTCCCCTGAACACCAGTTTCCAAGAAAGTCAGGTGGCAGCACCAGGGGCTCCGCTGATTCTTAGTGGTCTCCCACAACTTCTGGCTGGGGCCAACCGTCCGACCAATCCAGCGCCATCCTCCGTCACAGGGGCTGGAGCAGCAGGGCCCAGCTCTCAGGCCCCTGGGACTGTCATCGCTGCCTTCATCAGGACTTCGGGTGCCACAGCAGCCCCTGGGGTCAAGGAGGGGCCACTGAGGCCCTCCTCATATGTGCAGGGCATGGTGACTGGGGCCCCCATGGAGGGGCTGCTGGTTCCTGAAGAGACCCTGAGGGAGCTCCTGAGGGATCGGGCTCACCTTCAGCCACTTCCAACCCAGGTGGTTTCAAGGGGTTCCCTTCCGGGGAACCAGACTTTCTCTTCTCCCAGCTGCCCCACTGTTGGGCTGACCCCAGTGGCTGAACTTGAGCTCTCCTCAGGCTCAGGGTCCCTGTTTATGGCTGAGCCTAATGTGACCACATCTGGGAGCCTGCTTGCCAGATCCCCAACCCCAGCCCCCTTCTCCCCATTCAATCCCACTTCGCTTATAAAGATGGAGCCCCATGACATATAAATGAAGGGGGTCGGGGGAGGTGCGTCCCAACAGGTAAAGTTGAACAGCATTTTTATATGGACTTCCTGTAGCAGAGACTGACTGAAACAGCACACCTGCCCTTTTCAGTGGGATGTCAATACACCAGATCCCCTGTCCCCGACCCCTGCCCGGTGTCACCACGGCCAAGCCATGCCCAGTTTGAGCATCCGTGGCGTCAGACCGTGGCCTTCAAGAGCACTAGGGGATATGCTCTTGTCAGGGTAATGGGCTGACTTGGTGATGGAGCGAAAACCTCCTGAGAAGTTTGTGGCCAGGGCTGAGGCAGGGGCTCTGGGGGAAGAGTCCTGTCGTAGGGCTATATTTCACCATCTACGTTCCCTCCACAGGGAATTTCCTATCCCATATGTGAATATCTCTGTATGTATTTGTGTGTACTCGTGGGTCTGTATCTCTGTTTCTTTGGGGAGGATGGGCGTGTAGCTGTGAGGTCTTCAAGGGTGTGTGTGTCTTTGCGGGTCAGCTGCAGAGATGGGGAGTGTTTTTTAAAAGAAAGCATTCTCTAGTGCCCTCTGTACAAACCGAGATTCAGTTGCTCCGAGGCTGTGGGGTACATGCTGGATCCCCCAAATTGAGAGAGATGTCACAGAGCTGGAGCAGGTCCAGGGTACGAGGATTTCAGTGGGCACATGTGCTGGGGAAGATGCGGTTAGAAGGGCCAAGGTCAGACCCAGATAGTCCCCAGGCAGGGGCTGAAATTAATTGAATGTGCCGAGGGTGTGGACTCCCTCTTGATGAGTGTCATCCCGATACCTCCCTGCTGTCAGGCATTGCTGGGACAGCTGTGTCGCCGTGCATGTTGGCTGTGCCTCCGTCCTCACCCGTGTGTGCCTGCTGCTCAGCGTGCCTTCTACTCACCTTGTAGGCTTGCCAACCCACTCGCCCCCACAATGGCTATCACAGTCCTCGAGTGGACTGTTGACACTCATCGCCAACTTTCAGTTGCACCTGGCCCTGATTCCTCCTGCAGCAAGAAGACAGGAGCCAGCAGATGTGAGCCCCCATGGCACTTCTCCCATCTCTACATGGTTCCTTGCTTCCCTCTTTCTTCTTTCTGAGGAAGTTTCAACTGATCCTCTATTAGGTCAAACCCTTGGCCTAACTCCTCCTTCCCCTTTGAATTAGCTTGCCTCTCTCCTGCGAAAATTGGGGGGCAAGGCTAAGAGTTAAAACACGTTGACAGCCTCAGAAACAATGATATGATCTGGTGAATTTGGTTAATGTGAATCAGTGCCTCAGGACCTTTTCTGTGTCCGCAGTATAAAACCATCCATTAGACCTAACTACCTCCCCAGGTTGTTCTCTCTTTCCTTCTGGTCACTGCCAAGCCTCCTATCATTCTCTCCCACTCTCTTCTTGTGCTTCCCCCTTCTCTCCCTGGAAAGGAAACATATATGGATGTGCAGATGTATTTATTACACATCTCCAACACTCGGCATTAAAATGCCTTTTTCTAATATGATCAGTTTATTATGACAAATTCCCAATGATGGAAAGTGAAACATCCCAAGAAAGAGTCACCTTTCAAACAAAATTTGCACAAAGTCGCTGCATGGATTAGGGGTGGCCCTGCCCCCGCCCCAAATCCATAGAACTCATCATCTGAAGGTCACTGATACCCTCATGGTGACATGAAGTGTCTTCTTCACAGTTCTCAGTCCCTGTGAACCCTCATGGCTCGTGACACTACTTTCTTCCCCCTCCTGCAGTAGCCGGGTTCTTGGGCTACCCTCTGTACCTGTGCTGGCCCCACATCTGCCACTTTAAATGTGGGTGCCCACCAAGGGTCTCAGCCGCTCTCCTGGCTCTGCCTTGGCTCTTTGGGGATGGGGCTGAAATTGAGAGAGTCAGCCCCCACTTTTCTCCTCAGCTCCTGCTTGCATTTCCAGCAGCCTGCTGGACATTTCCATCCAGATGCCTGTCATGCCTCAAACACAGCCCTTCTATCAAAAATGGATTTGAAAGTCTTCACACACACACACACACACACACACACACACAACCTTTCCCTCCCCCAAAACAAAAAGCTGTCATGACTTGCCTATTTCTGTGAAAGGTGCCATCATTTTCCTGACCTTCTAAGCTTGACATTTCAGAGCCATCTGATGGCTGCCTTCATTTGACCCTAACCCTCCCCCATCTCTTGAAGTCCAGGCCGTTTGCCATGTCTCCGAAATCTAGCCTTTCTTCCACATTCTCAGAGCCTCCAGCCTAGCTCAGACTTACTTGACTATATCCCTTTCCCAACACACCAACACACCGCAGTGTGACCCGTCCCCCTCTCTGATCTGCCTGCTGGGGCACCAGTCCTGTTCTTTCTCTGCTAAAAAGCCTTCAATGGCTCTTCATTGCCTATAGGTAGGGGTGATACTCAAAATACTTTAGCCTCCCATCTGTTCTGGCAGCCGGGCATTAACTCTTAATTTGCTGAACCACAAAGCAGTCCAGGGGTCCTGGAGGAGAGGGGAGGGAATATTTGAGGACTCAGGGCAGTAATTCCAAAAGGAAGGTACCAAGTCCTTGGACCTTCTGGCAAAGGCCCTTCACCATCAAGTCCCAACCGACTTCCCTAGTCATCTCTCACATTGCTTCCCTGACCCCCGGGGTCCTGCTCCAAACAGGGATCCCCTGGCCTTTGAGTTTGCCTCTGTTTGAAGTTTCCCACCTCTGCGATTTTGCTTTACTTGGTTCTGCTCAACCAGGATGCTCCTCCCACCCTGTTAGTACCAATTAAATCGTATCCATCCTTTAAGACTCTGTTCATGGAAGCTGCCTCCCTAGACCAGACTACCCCTGAGTTCTTCATTTGAAATTCGCACCAATTGCCACTCTTTTGGCAACTGCTCATGAATAGTGACATCTCCTCTGTTATAATCACAAACTGTTACTTAAATCTTCAATGACCTGGGCCTATTTAGTCTCACCACTTAGTGTGCCACCTTTCGAGGGGCGGGGGGCTGTACCACCCACAGAGCGGGGCAAGCTATGAACCATCTAGTGAGCATCAGTGAACCCATTGAGCTGCTGAGAGATGGGGATGAAAGTCTGAGGCTGGTGACCTCTGACCTCCCCTCTGCACAGGCACTCACCCTAGATGCTCCACTGCCCAGGGCCGGACCTCTCTGGCTCAGTGCCCTCATGATGCCCCTACTCCCACCCCCCAGCCTTATCACCCAAGAGTTGTTACTACTTTGAACACCCCTGCCCCTAAAGAAACTTCCCTGTCCAGTTTCTTTCCTAATCCAAAGTGTTAAAGTAGCTAATCTGGTCAACTAACCTGTGCTGATCTAGTTATGGGAGAGGGCCGGAGGAGACCCTCAGGAGACTGGTTCATTTTTGCCAGGGTCATGTGGTAACAACATCCTTGCCTTTGCGAAGACGGTGTAATGGGGTCAGGAGACCCGCTCCTCACCCCCTAGCAGCTGATGTATCCCTCCTTCCTCTGGGCTCCCGCAGCACTTTGTGTATACCTCTTACTGTAGCACTTAGCACATGGTAGCTCCTTAGCTATGTGTTTATGTATGTTGCCCCTCTAATAGACTGTGAGCTCCTCAAGGACAGGGACTGTGTGTTAGTCACTGATGTATCCCCAGCGCCTAGCACAGTGCCTGGCACACAGTAGGTGCTCAATAAATGTTTATTGAAAGAAACAATGAGTCATGTTTCTAATCATGGGGATTTCAGCCATATACTGTAGCAGGCAAAAGGGGGAAGGGAAGGACAACCCATACTTGGGGGCTCTCACAGCTTTTTGGCCCCTCATATGACTGCAGGCAGCTGCTTCCTTGCCCAG